AAAGGGATAGCATTTCACACTTCACTGGTCCTATGGATTATTTGTAAAAGGGATAGCACTTCACACTTCACTGGTCCTATGGACATCAATGCAGGCGAGTTGTGTTGCTTTGAGCGAAAAGCATCTTACTGGGCATCTGGTGAAGTGTTTCGAACTGCTTGGGACCTAGCATAGCCTATGATTATGGCACTCGGCTCGCAATCTGCGGGATCGAATCCCATCACCGAACATGCTCCTCTTTTTAGCCGTTGGAGCGTTATAATGTTGTGGCCAATCCCACTGTTTAATTAGCGCAGAGTTGGCGGTGGGTGGGGTTGACTATCTGCCTTCTCTCTAGTCTATCACTTCGAAATTAGGAAAGGTTAGCGCATATAGGCTTCGAGTAGCTTAGCGCAAAATTCAACAAGCAAACAAACTAACTAATCATATGTACACTGACTGACATGACGTTCGGTTGTGCTGAAAGTATCTAGTTTTGTCTTGAAGCATGTATTACGGCAATCCAGAATCAACGAATAGCAATCGTTTGCCTGTGTTGTGTCCAATTAACTCTACCATATTCTCGATACTCTGAGATAGTTGTAATCAATTCACAATAGTTTGTTGTGATTGTCTGGCTTCCATTTGCCCAGTGACTCACCCAGCACATTGAGTTAGTGTAACTTTTTGTATGGTCTTTAGCCTTACACGAAGAACACTTTGAACCATTTTAAACTCTTCTAATTGACTTCAAAGTGTCAGGCTGATTTACTAATCATTGGTATTTCAAAACACATGAACAACGAACTCGGAGGTAGGAGAGTGACATTTTTTCAACAGGGGTTTTGCCTTGCCATAGTTATGATATTATAAATCCCGATTATTCTTTAGACGTTGCGTTCAGTGTATTTAGTTTGAGATATGAAATGCGAAAGTTTAGTTACTTTTACGTTTCAGGTGTAGAATTACACGAAGAAAAGAATGAAAAGATGTCACAAATAACTGGTTTATTTATCCTACTTTGTTTCCAGTAATTTATTTTTCTTCTTGACTTAGACTTGTCGAATAGAGTTTGCTCAATACATATATAATATCCTGCTAGACGGCTAGAGGGATAATAGCCATCATTTGTCAACCTCTGATCAAATGGCAGATTAATAACCGGGGTAACGTTTATGTTATACACGCTGTGCTCTCACTTGGGTTGGGAAATAACCAGGGAAGAAATCTTCCTCATCTTGGTTATATATCATTATACTCTCAACGTTATTTTTTGTAATAATATATTGAGTTATAGACATAATTTTTTTGTCAGAGCTGGAATGTTTTGTCCAAAAAAAGTGATTGTTAAGTGCTGAAAACATTTTACGTTTCAAACCTATTTGAATAATGAATTAAGGAGACTGTGTTAGAAGTTGGTACGTGGTTTGCATAATTATATAGTCTGTCTGCTCATATTTCTTTCTTTTTCTTTTTGAGAAGACATGAATATGTTAAACGAGAAATAAATGACTGGGTATTTGCTTCTTGCTTGAATATGTTGAGGTAGTAAAAAAATCCTGAATTTTAAATAAACTCTTTCCATTGGAGCATTTTAATGTGTCAAAGACAGGTTTTCAGTCTGACAAACATGCTAAGGATTTTAGGCGTTTATAGAAATAGATGTCCTCTGATGTAAGCTTGAGGCTTATAACGCTAAAGTACGAGGTTCGATTCTCCGCAATGAACATATTGAAAATAAGCCATTGTGTAGTTTGACGCTTAATTAACAACACCAGATGTAACTTCGTATTTTTCATTTTCGGCATTAACTGTAGAAAACAACCAATTACACTTCAGATAAACAAATGGTTTACAATATTACTCTTTCGGGATCAAATTCTTTGATAATTTTTTTACAGCCAAAGCACAGCATTAATCAAAGGTAATGGTTTCATACTGATAAATTCACTTACTCAGTCGTCTGAAAAAGTTAAGATTATTACCAGATCAATAAATCGCACATTTATAAAATCTTTAAAGACATCTTTTACATAACCACCAAAAAATTCTAAGACCTCAGAGTGTTAGTTTATTTAAAAAATAAGAAGAACACAGGTTCGATTAATAGAATTAGAAAAAACCAACATATATATGCTGACACTTAAAATTCGAGATCATTTTATGAACTTTGAACTATATATATTATAAATATATTACATCAAAGTGTTATAAAAAATAATTTTTGATCAAAAAATGCCCTCTACAAGTAACCAGCGAATATGTTCGTGGTCGACTAATAAGCATCTGAAGGCTAGTATTTACAGCATGTATGACTCTGGTAGTTGTGAAAAACCCAACAGGAACTTTATTCAACCGTTTGATTTCTAGAGAACAGAATTATCCGTTCACGAGTAGGTCATGAATTGGTCAGTTGCGAAAAGAGTTAACATGATTTTAGTTTACTGCACTTGTTGATGAAGAAAGAGCGCAATATTTCTTTTTAGCAGCGAATAATTAAAATGTACTAATCACTAGACCCGTTCAAAGGGGAGTTAAGTATGAACGTGTGTAACCTTTTCGGGGGTATTCTAAGTATCCGTAAGGATCATTTTTACAGTTGATCTTCCAGTTACGTGTATGTATATTTGATACGCGAGTTGTCTTCATCTCGAAAGTTTCACACTAATGTTAGTTTAAAATTCTGATGATAACGGAACTGAACTAAGCTGTTATGTTTCTTTTTTTTTCTTTGTAAATGGGTTATTGGAATACTAGGGCTAGTTAAATATAAATATGTTACAACCTCTGAGCGGAACTTCCAAACGATTATTACTTGCTTTTCATAACCCTGTAGGTTATTTTTGTGGAGAAGTTGGACGAGATTCTTTGTTCTTTATTTGTGTTTGTGTCTTCTAGATACACAGAAATGATCGTCCCATTCTCTCTACACTGTTTAACGTTAATAATGCTGTAACACTGAATTATAGTGTAATATAAACATATATTCTACGAAAAACATAAAACCACGTGTTCTGTTATTCAGGTTATAATTCATCTTACGAAGTCTTTCTGTATACCCGTAAGAATATATTTATACACGACATCAACAAAGACAGAATGCATGAGACAAAGATACTTTTCGTTTAAATAAACGATCAGATTTTCACATTACCCAAAACTTGTCTCCATAAAACGGTTTCCTGGTTCGTATTTACATCTAAATTTATCTACCATTCTTCAGCACTGTTTGCTTGTGTGTGCGTATGTTAATTAACAAAATGTACGCACTTTATATAGCGAAATGTTAAACTTTCTGCAATGTAATCCTTTTTCTAATGCATGCAGTCTTTGTTTCCGTTTCTAGTTTAAAAGTATTTATCAATGAATGACTAGGATATATTATCTATATATTTCTTAAAGTAAATCCTTAAATTATATTCTGATATATTAGATCTTTTCGTCTCTAAGTAAGAGTCAGGTTCTGTCTTTATTTTACAGCTTTCTTATGTTTACTGATATTAACTCGGTTCAATCCACTAACAACAGTCTGATGCTATATTTATTTTACAGTCTGATTCTGTGTTTAGAATAACAACCTGGAGTTGCCATTAGATAAGTGCCCTATTGTGTTTGAAGAGAACAGTCTGGTTTTGACTTTAGGTAAAAATCTGGTTCTCTCTTTAGATAGTAACGTCTTTCTGTTTCTAGATAACTGCCTGTTTCTGACTTTAAATAACAGTCTGATTATGCATATAGGTAACAACATAGATCATCTTTTAGATAGTTGTTTGGTTCTGTTGTTATATAACTGCCTGTTTCTGACTTTAAATAACAGTCTGGTTATGTATATAGGTAACAACATAGATTATCTTTTAGATAGTTGTTTGGTTCTGTTGTTATATAACTGCCTGTTTCTGACTTTAAATAACAGTCTGGTTATGTATATAGGTAACAACATAGATTATCTTTTAGATAGTTGCTTGGTTCTGTTGTAATATAACTGCCTGTTTCTGACTTTAAATAACAGTCTGGTTATGTATATAGGTAACAGTATAGATTATCTTTATATAAATGTTTGATTCTATTTTAGATATCTGCTTGCTTATTTATATAGGTAACAGCTTGGATTATCTTTCAGGCAACATCCTGGATCCGCCTTTAGACAACACTCTAGTTCTGTCTTTAGATAACATTTAGTTTCTGCCTTTAGATAAATGTCTGGTTCTGCCTTTAGGTAACATTCTGGTTCTGTCTTTACATAACAGTTAGATTCTGTCTTTATATAACAATCTGGATTTTTCCTTTTAGATAACAGTCTGGATCTGTTTTTTTAACTTGCTGATTTTGTCTTTAGGTTACATTTTGGTTTTGCCTTTAGATACAAATCTGGATTTGCTTTTTAGATAACAGTCTGGACCTGTTTTTTAACTTTCTAATTCTGTCTTTAGGTAACATTCTGGTTCTGTCTTTAGACAACAGTCTGGGTCTGTCTTTTTAACTTTCTGTAAAATCCTGGGTTTTTAGATAACATCCTGTTTCTGTCTTTGGTTACATCTTGTGTTTGGTTATATTTTAAGAAGAAGTTGGTTTTTTTAGCTACCCATGTATTTCCGTAATTAGATAAATTCAATTTTATAACTTTGTATAACTGTGTAATTTTATATTTATATAACCAACTGGTTCTGTTTCTGAGTAACAGCCAGACTCTGTTTTAAGTTAATATTCTGCTTCTTTCTCTAGAACACAGTTTTGTCCCTACTTTCAGATAATTAATTTTATCTTTAAATAGCTGTCTGATTTTATCTTTTGGATAATATTAGTATTGTATATTTAGATAACTACTTGAGTCTATCTTTAAATGACTTGTCTGATTCAATTTTTACTCAACAGTTTAGTTCTGTTTATTTTTAGATATGATACTGTCTTAAGATAATAAGGCTCTCTCGTCTGATAACAGAAAAACCAAATCTAGACATGTCCCTAGATACCAGGTTAGTTTTGTCTGGATGGAATAACAATCCAGTTTTATCTTACAGGTGACCATCTACATATCTGTGACCGCAGTTATACGTGCTGTACAGAAGAGATGGAACACAAACTGAGCACACATAGCAGAGTGGAGTTCGACAAGCTTCTGAAGGACGGTATCGGCTCCTTGAAGAAACTCTTCGCTTCCAATACATTAAAATTCGACAGTGAGTCTTGGATTTTTAGTGGTCTTTAATATGTACCATTAATACCATAACTCGAAATATAACACACGGAATATAAATAACTACTTTGGTGACATCATACAGAGTTGTGTTATTGTTTTGGGAACTCGCAGAAAGTTTAATAAAAGAATTATTAAATCCGTTGTGTTAGCTTAAGCTGCCTCTCTCTTAAACATTTTCTCGTTATTTTAGTTAATTTATTTTAATACAAGTTCGTTAAAAAAATGTCCGTCTGTTATTGCTTTTTAGTATAGAAAAATTCAAATATTTTCTTTGATTTTACATTTTCCTTTTAATGGGTTTTAATAATTACATTTTTGTGCGTTTTTTTAAATTTCACTTTCTATATACTTTCGATTTGATTTTATTTAATTTTCGTGATTTTAAATTATTCTGTCGTTTCAGTAATTTTTTTTAATGTCCCCTTATTTCAGCATTGATATAGATGGTTATCGTTTCTAGAACATGGCTTTCAATGCTAATACTTCTCAAGCTCTGTTTTTGTTTCAATGCATTTAACGAGATTGTTACACTCTGGTATGCGTATGAAGCAATGTGTTTTTACCATCATGGAGTATGTATACTACTTTAGCTGTATATAGCGTTATTTTTGTTATTTATTTTTGTTACACTTGGCTTTAAATACGCTAACTCAAATGTAAACAGGAAAGCGGTTAACACTTCAGTTAGACATGGCCAAACAAACTTGGGAGGTCGCTTAACTAACTGGTTTGACTTCTTCAATCTCTTTGGGCGGTTGGTATGGTGCTGTTTTTTCTTTCTACGTACTTGGAAAACGTGTTCCCATTCCTTGATCCAATACTTTGTTTGATTACATGTTATTGCTCAGTGTCCCAAATGCTTTTAAAATACGTTTTTAAAATATGTTTTTATTTAATCGTTCTCTAAGTTTTTGCAGTTCTTTTGTAGAATATATTTTTCATCCTCTTTCAAATATTTTGAGGTTGGGCGTGGCTTAATGATTAACGTTCTCGGGTTGTGAACCCGAAGGTTCGTGGTTCGCGGCAGGTTGCTTTAAAAATTCGCCCTGCACTTTGGGGCTGTGGGTTTGTTATATGGGTGACGATCAAATCTCACAGTTCGAGCTGATAAGAGCAGCTCAAGAGTTGGCAGTGGGTGCTGTTGACTAGACTAGTTGCCGGGTCGCAGATTTGTTTGTGTGTTTGTAGTTAACTACAAAGCTACACAATGGGCTACCTGTGCTCTGCCTACTACAGGTATCGAAACCCGGTTTCTAGCGTTGTAAGTCTGCAGAAGAAAAACAATATAAACAAAGAAATTAAATTATTTTATCGACAGAAATCTATATTTTAGCGTGTTTATCATTCCAATATTCACTGTTCTATGATGATTTGACTCCTATAAGAATTTTTTCAATTCCACTTTTTGTTTTCTTTACGCTCCTTCTGTAATACTTTTATTATTAGTTTTACTGTATTTGGATCATCTAAAGAGAATAGATCTTTTTGAAACGTGCTCATGCCTTCTCAAGACAAATGAACCGAAAATATGTTGTTTTAAGTTATCGATGTCATTACTACATGTTTTCAAATTGAATACACTTATTATTTACAACAAACAAGGTAAAAGTTTCTTCTCGCGATCTTTAAACGAAAGTGGCCATCAGCGTCATTTTCTCAGTACTGGGGTATTTCTAGGTTAAATTGCTTTCTGCAAAGTATAGTAGGTAGGCCCGCTTTATGTCAGAAGGATAGACAGAATAAATCACGAAGTAATACTGAATTGAACTAAACTGAGTTTAAGCAAAGAAATGAATAGATTGGACACCATGTGTAATGCAAAATGATAACAGTATTTATTCACAAAAACTGTTTGCATACTTACATTGGAAAGTCCATATTCTAGTATACTTGAGTGACTTTCTTCCCTGAAGGTGTATTCCAGTCAACCAACTAAATCTGACGTTTTTTACTTAAGGGAGAAGTGTTAGGTTTATCGAATGCGACTATTACTATCCACGTGATTGGTCATCTTAATTTAACATAGATGAGGCCATAACTTCGAGGTATCACATTCTATACCAGGGACGTAGCTGGGCATATGCACGTACGCCCATGTGTAACATTGAAAATTTAAGATACGATTTTTTTTTTCATATAAAATCTTAATCTTACTATAAAGACTACTGTCAGTATTGTGTAACTAGAATATTAGTAAGAACGCAATTAGACGACTAACTATAAGTTGATTCCTTGTCGCGATCGTTAAATTTCTTTAAAACATGCTTGCTTGTAATGTATATCAATGTTTGATAACCAGGTGACACTCCCAACTACAGAAGCCAAAATTAGTCACGTTTAGCTTCTCTATTCTCCCAGCCGAATCACCGAAGACCCAACCAGGATAAAATCTTGTATTGATAAGTAATAAACTTTTGACGTTAGTGCAGAAGTTGGTCTATTCAGGAGTAACATTTACGAGTAAACGTGCTACAAAGGGAGATCTACAAGCGACAACAGGAAGGAAAACATGCGTGCTCAAATAAAACCGCCTCTGATGCTCAAGTAGCCAGACGAGAGCCTGTAAAGGACACTTAGTAACATAATATCTCATATCTTAATGAAATTAGTGCTACATTAAAATAAGTTTCAAGTATAAGCGTTCCATATGCTTTCCCAACTTTATGAGTGAAAGTAATTTCAAGATCCAACGAATAGTCATTGTTAAAAAAAGAAATACTTTTATATGACAATCCTTTTTAGTAAAAGCTTTTAGTAATAATTGTATTATGATTGGGGTCTTCTGCAGTGAACGTGTAGTTTGAACTCGAAAAGCTATTTAAGGCATTGCACGTTTGCAGACAACGAAATGTTTCATAACCTAATTTGCTAAGTCTTTCTCCAATATCTTTCATATTTCTATTCTAATATTATTATTATGCTTATAACTGTATTATAGCACATTCTTATTGTTTTGGTAGAGTTATTACTCTAGAATTTTAGTGTAATATTATTCGGGAATAGCTGTCTTGATATATTGGCAACACTTTCTAATTTTGTCTTAATACCCGTAGGTGCTGGGTAGGACACCTAGCCTGAACCCCCTTTATCATATTATTCATAGTGGAACTAATATATTCTAACATGCAGTTACGTGCAGTAGAATGATGACTCCATAATTTCTAGTGTATTTTAGTTCAAACACTCCCTAGGTGTGCTGCGCACGTGGTGTTCGTGCTCTTATAATGACGTAACAAATATTAATGGGAAAGAAGTACCTCCCTTTTAGCTATATTTTGAGAGTATATCAACAAAACTTTCTTTTCGCGAGGTTTCAAGTAATATCATTAGAAAATAAAATAATTGTAGCTTTACTTGGTATCTGTAGAAAAAAAGTATTTTCAGCAAGATACATGTGTCCTAGGGCTGAATTTTTAGTGTCTATGGATATTGTACAATGCACTTGTCAAATGCTTTCTGAAAATCCAGATATACCACATCCACACCTGTATCCTCATCTACGTAAGCAGTAACCTCTTTAAAGAATGCCAAAAGATTAGTAAGGGAAGATTTTATCCTAGTGAAACTACGCTGACTAACTAACAAAATTTTAAACTTTGTTAAATGACTTTGCAAAGCAAAGTTTGACTATACGATTGGTACTAATTATGGTTTGTAATACAGATTTTAATAGTGGTTATAGCATGCCGGACTGTGGATCTGGGTACGCGTCTCTTTACTGACAAAATAAAAAGTAGCACTTTACACTTTGAGGCCTAGGAAGCGTAATAAGTGTGACAGTCAAATTTCATTGTTCAGTCTAACAAGTGTAGCCCAAGTATTGGAGGTGGATGGTGATTATTAGTTGCCTTCCCTCTAGTCTATCACTTCAAAAGTAGGAACGCCTATGAAATAGCTCTCCTGTAGCCAAATAATGTTAAAATTAGGGTTCCAGTCTTTCAGTAAATGTAGCCCATTGTGTATATTTTTGCTTAACATCAAACAAACTAGCCAATGTGTTATACAGGATTGGCTTAATTAATTCGTAAGTTACTTTTGTAGTTTTGATCTTTATAGTTAGTGTATTATTGATCGGAAATTACACAGGCCTGCAAATTTAAATTTCAAAAAATTTGTTTTGGGTTTAATAACGGATTTTCCACAATTCAGCTACGCAAATTTCGAAAATAATATTCATTTTTTTCTATCACGTGACGATTTTTTTTTTTTACAAATCAGGAAGAAAAAACAAATTCTTACTTAGATCAAATTATTTCATTAACCACAA